CCTCCTAGTTAAACCTCCTCTTTGGAAAAGGAAACACAAAATGTATGTTCGTTTGTTTTTAAATTTTAATGAAAAATATTTTATTTATGCACTTTTTATATCATGGTCATTTCCAGATACAACTCTCACTATTGAACCCTCCCTAGTAACAACAACCACAACGACGACGAGGACCACCACCACCATCTAAGTAAGAGCCAGAGTCGGGTAACTCCGACAGACAACAAATTTAAGGTTCACTGTCCGAGGAGGGAGCTATGGCTGTTCTCTTGGACACCTCAATAACTCGGGTTTCCTTTCAGTTATCTCATTTGCATTATTGTAGTCTTGTATATTGTTCTCCTGGTTCTGTCGATTCATGGCTTCAAGATTTTTCCATCTTTTCCTGTATTCATCATTTTTTACACAGGGCCCAATAAAATTTTATTGCATTCATCTGACACCAATTCTTCAGCCATTCCACAATCAATAGGCACCCACTCTGATTCTTTGTCACCACAAAAAGTGCTGCTATGAATATTTTGGGGCTGTGTTAATTTGATTTCACTAAGGTTAATACTGTGGACAGGACTGAGCACTGGACATCTGGAACTGACAAGTGAATAAGACCTAGTTCCTTCTGTTAGAAGAACTCACAGTCAAGGGAGGGAGGTAAAACCTAAACACAAGTAACTATAATAAAAGGCAAAATGGCTCAAATGCTGAGAAATAGGTATAAGCCAAATGTTATTTGAGTTCAGAGGAGGGAAAGGATTCAGGGAAGGAATTTTAGTTGAACCTTGAAGGATGGCTGGTATTTCAACAGCCTGGTGGTGGGGGTAGGGGTGGGGGTAGGTTCGGGAGTGGGGTGTGGTGAAGCACGGCAGTACAATCCAGGGACAGTGAACGGTGGGAGAGATAGTGTGGGGTATGTAGTGGACTTCAAGTAGTGGACTTGAGAGTCAGAAGATTTGGGATTAAGACCTTGCTCTATGTGAACCTAGCTGTGTGAACCATGGCAAGTCATTCAACTTCTCTGAGCTTTGGTTTCCTCATCTGTAAAATGGGGATAATAACTCTTGAATTACCTATTTTCTCTCCCCATTCCAATCCATTCTTTACTCAGCTGCCCAGAAGATTTTCCTAATGCATAGGTCTGACTCTCCTCCCATAAGGAGCTCCGGTCGATCTCAATAAACTCCAGAATCAAATATAAACTCTTTTGTTTAGCATTTAAAGCTTTTTATTAGCTGGCTTCTCCTAGATCTCCAGTCTTACACTTTCTGCATTCCAGCAACAAAGGCCTACTCGAGGTTCCTTTCAAAAGACACTTTATCTCCTTGCATAGGGCATTCCCCCAGGACTGGAATGCTGCCTCACAATTTGCTCGGTTTCCTTCAAGATTATCTTCCCCCTACTTTGTGTATATCTAGTACCTACCTAGTTATTTACCTGTTGTTCCTTTGTTAGAATGCAAATTCTTTGAAGGCAGGGACTTTTACTTTTGTTTTTTGTTTTCCTATCGGCTGGTGCTTAGCAAAGTACCCAATACTTTGTTGTTCAGAAGTGTCTGACTCTTTTGAGATTTCTGTAGACCATAGCACACCAAAGCTGTCCATGAGGTTTTCTTGGCAAAGAAATTGGAGTGATTTGTTATTTTCTTCTCCAGTGAATTAAGGCAGAGATTAAGTGACTACTCCAGGTCATACATTTAGTGTCTGAGGCCAAATCTGAACTCAGGTCTTCCTGACTCCAGGCCCAGGGCTGTGTCCACTGAGCCACCTAGCTGCTTTCTTTGTAAAGGCTTAATAAATGCTTGTTGAATGATTATGGGTTGTTGTGAGGGAAGTACTGTACTTTGTGAACTGTGTGTCTATCTTCTCCCTCTTCCAGGAGCCTGCTTTTCTTTGCTCCCCATTATCTACTGTCAGATACCACAAAAAAGTTTGTTCAAGACTTCACTCTACATTCTCTGCCAGATATTTAGTTTTGTTTTGTTGCTAGGCAATGGGGTTAAGTGACTTGCCCAGAATCACACAGCTAGAGAGTGTTATGTGTCTGAGGCGGAATTTGAACTCAGGTCCTCCTGACTCCACGGCCAGTGCTCTATCCACTGTGCCCCTCTGCCAGATATTTAGAACCACAGAATATAGCTTCATATTAAATGATTAAAAAGTTCATGATATTCAGGATTAGAGTCCACCAAGTTGACCTTCAGTGTCACTTAATAGTTTATTTCTTTCTTTATTTATATAATTTGTAGATTTTCCTTTGCATAGAAAGTCTCTGTCTCTTGCTTTTTCTTGTCACAGCAGGAATGAGGAGTGAAAGAAGCAGAATTAGACCACTGCTTTCCTAAATTTTTTCCCACCTCCAGGTTCAGGCCAAGGCAAAGGAGAAGGGGTAGGAATAAGCTTAAAAGCCAGGTGTGATAGCAGGAAAAAAATAAACCAAACCAAACCAAACCCAGGACTCTCAGCTTCTATCCCAAATGAGGTCATCAATCTGTCCTTTGGAAACAACAGGAGAGGGAGGAGTGTGCCCACTGTTGCTCTGGTAGTGATATCCTCTGCCTTGAGAGGCAATGATTTCCTTCAGCTCAATTCAACATTTATCAAAGAACTAGTATGTGCAAATCACCTTGGGAGGGTCTGGGGCTTTTGATTTTGCTTAAAACAACAACAACAAAAAAAAACTCAGCAACAAAATTTAGATGACCTCACTCCTAGCAAATTAGCAAAGATGACAAAAAGATGAGAGAGTCATTGTTAGAGGGATGGAGGAAAGACTGAGACACAAATATACTGTTTGTGGAGCAGTGGATTGGGCTAACAGTTCTGGAAAGCAACTTAGAATTATGCTAAATTGACTAAATTACACTATACTAAATTGACTAAATTACTACTAATTACACTAAAGTGACTAAAACATCCATATCCTTTGACTCAGATTCTACCGCTAGGCATATACTCAAAGAAGCACAAAGACAGAAAGAAGGACCCATATATGTTAAAACATTTATAGTTGTAAAGAATTGGAGGGGGCAGCTAGGTGGCACAGTGGATAAGCTCCGGCCTTCGAGTCAGGAGGACCTGAGTTCAAATCAGACCTCAGACACATGACACTAGCTGTGTGACTCTGGGCAAGTCACTTAACCCCAATTTCCTCACTAAAAAGGCAAAAAAAAAATTGGAGACAAAATAGATGCCCATCAATTGGGGAACATAACCCATTAACTGGTAAACAAGTTGTAGTACATGGATTTAATGCAATATTACTGTACTGCAACAAACAAATATAATGAATTCAGAGATGCACCAAAGACTTATATGGAGGGATGAAAAATGAAGTAAAATAATATGCACAATTATGACAGCGTAAATGGAAAATAAAATAACAAACCTCTTCAAAAATAAATGCTGTATGGTAACAGTGATTAAGCTTGGCCCCAAAGAAGAGATTGAAGAATGTACCTCCCTCATTTTTATGTAGAGGTGGGAGATGATGGATATGGAACAATACAAACATTATCAAATACATACATTGTCAGACTTGGCTGATGAGTTGGTTAGTTTTGGTGAACTTTTTTTTCCCCTTTCTGTTATATTCTTTGTTACAGAGGATGGCTCTCCTGGGAGGAAGAGAGAGAGATATTTTGAAACAAAGGAGATGAAAAGACAAAATTATCAATAAAAAATTTAGAAAGAAAAAAGCTAAACCAAAAAAAGTTCAGATAAAACATAATTTCCTTATGGAGCTTACTATTTAGTAAAGGCATAATAACCACTAATCGATAACTATTACATAAAATCACCTCTTAATAAATTTTAGCGTTTGAAGTGCTGCCAGTGGGTCAGAAAGGTTAAGTGACTGGTCTCTCATTACATAGATAATAAATGTCAAATGAAGGATTTCAATCTGATTCCTGGTTCAAAACTGTCCAATAACCAGATAGCTTCTCTACAGGTAACTATGGTATACAAGAATACATAAGTGCATTAGAAAGAGGTTTAAAACTAAGTGCCATGAGGGAGTGGGATACAGTGAGAAAAGTCCTGAAGAAACCTGTGATCCTCACACTTATTAGCTAGCTGTGACCACATTAAGTTCTTTAGTCTCTCTGAGTCAGTTTCCTCATCTATATGTAGCCACTCTCATATATAATGGCAATAATCATATTTGTGCAATTCAGCTAACGGGGTTGTGGTGAGAAATGTTCTTTATAAACCTTTCAAGTGTTTAAATAAGTAGGGGCTTACTATTAATGCTAGGGAATGTCTTGACTCGATGAAGTGCCTTGACATTATACGTGAGGGTGAGGGGATATTTTCCACATATGTCCTGAAGATTCAATGTAACAATGGATGCGAACTGACGCTGTCAGTTGTAAAGCTTGTACACGGGTGAAGGGCTGCTTCCTTTCCGCCTATGCTTGAAGGCTCAGATTCAATCTCACCTCTTCCGGGAAGCCTTTCAGCCAGCTTCAGGCCACACTAGTTCATGGAGTTGCTATAGTTCCTTAAGCTCTGACCCAGGGCAACACAGTGGTCAGGCAAATATTTATTGATCAACGTATTGTTTGGCAAGCAAAGTGCCCCATTCAGTGAGCGAATCCAGGAAGTTCACAGAGAGGCAAGCAGGAGAGCACGTGTGGCCTGGGCGGGGCTAGAGAAAGAGGGGAGGGGGTCCTGACCCCTTTTCTCACCGCGGGGCACTTACGTACCGTGCGGGCCGCATTGCTTGCTGGGAGGTGTAGTCCCCGGGTCGTGGCGTCTGTTTAGAGTTTTAGTAATGACGAGGGGGCGGGGCCACGGAAGGAGCCGGGAGGGGGTGGGGCTGGCACGAGGCGGCCTCTAGGACCCTACTGGGGCGCGGGAGCGCGCTCTTGGGCCCGGTCCGGCAGTATCGGGCACGAGCAGGGGCAGGCGGGCGGTGGCAGTGGAGCCCGAAGAAGGAGGGCTTGGTGAGCGGCGTACCTCGGGAGGCCGGGGCTCTCGGCTTCCACAAAATCATGGTCTCGATTAAGGATCCTGCAGGCCGGGGCCAGAATCAGGCCTTCCCCCCGAGGCGGCTCTGAGGGCCCTGGCCTCCTGGGGGCGGGGCCTTCCCTTGTGGAGGGAGCGGGGAGGAGCGTCTGAGGGGGGAGGGGACTGTGAGGGGTCGTGGTGGGGGGAACCCAAGAAGGAATTTGAGGGGGGAGGGGACCCCGGAGAAAGTCTGAGGAGGGTTGGGACCAAGGAGGGTGGGGACTTAGGAGAGTCTGAGGAGGGAGGGGTCCTAGGAAAGAGTCTGAGGGGGAAAGAGACTAATGGGGGAGGGGACCTAGGAGAGAGTCTGAGGAGGGTGGGGACAGTCCGGAGATCTTGGGGTGTGGGGAAAGGTGTTGGACCGGACCTGGGAGAATAGCCGGTGGAGGGGAGGAACCTAGGAGAGGACTTGGGGAGAGGGTCCTAGGAAAGTGTCTTGAGGAGAGTGTAGGATAAGGTGTCAGTAGTATGAGTATATCCTAGAATACGTGTTTGGTGGGGAGGATTCTAGGAGAATATATGTTTTTGAGGAGGATCCTAGGAGAAGGCGTGCCAGGGGTAGGAATTTAGGAGAATATGTGTGTGTGTGTTGGGCCTGGTGATGAGAAGAAAATATCTAGGGGTATCCTATAAGATTGGGAGGAAGAGGGACAATGGTTGTAGGGAGAGATCGGTTGAGGAAGTAGAGTTTCCAGTGAGCAGCATCCCTGGGTAGGATAAGGCTCTGAAGTGCTGTCCCGTACCTCCTTGTCCTGCGGTGCCTCCCCCCCTCCCCGCGCCGAAATCAAGGAGAAAAGGAGACAGTGAGTGGGAATCTTAAGAGAGTGTTTGACAAGGGAAGGTCCATCGCTTTGTGATGTAGAGTTGAGAAGATCCCTAGGAGAGTATCTGATGTGAGGAGCAGTCAATGAAGAGGACCCTTATCTCCCTCCACCCTGGATAGTGTTTAGGGGAGATGGAGCCTAGACTTTGAGACAGACTCCTGACACCCTTTTCAGGATTGGAACTGACCCCTGATTTTCCTGTTCTACCAGTGAGGCTTGGCTTTTTTTTTTTTTTATCAGGCTTTAGTATCAGCTCCCTCCCCCAGGTGACCTTTGGCCTAGTCATGGCTTCTGGGGTCAGGTGATAAGGAAAGCTCAATGGAATTTGATTATGTACTTTCTGGGCTCCGGGGGACTGTGTTCTTTCTGGTAGGAAGGGATTGAACCTTTTGTGACTTTTCTCTGGGGGTCATTATAGCTGCTGACCTACATTCTACTTCCTGGTGTGGGCATGTAGCGTTTGTGTAGGCCCTCTTAACCTTTTACCTGCTTACCTCCTCGGAGTATTATTGATCTAAGTTTTCAGTTAGGTAACTTGATGCAAGGTACTAAGTAAATGAAGTTTAATCTTTTCCCTTGGCTGAGGTGGGGAAGTGTGGAGATAAAGGAGCATTGGCTTCTTGTTGAAGGGAGCTTGTTAAGAACTCTGAAAAGTACTCATTGAGAGTTCATTCAACGAAATTTATTACATATGTACAAGTTCCAGTGCTGGACTTTAGGGATACATATATGAAATGAGACACCTCCTTGTAGTGGAAAAAGCCCTGCATTTTTGATTCCTGCAGGGGATCAGAGTAGAAGATCTTTTAAGATCCTTTCTAGCTCTAAATCCTAGAATTCTTGTTCTCCAAGAAACTTAATCTAGTAGGAAGATTAAAACACACTCAAATAACTATAATCTGAAATTAAAGTATAAACACATAGGAGAGGTTCAGCCAGAGTGGTATGAAAGATTTGATTGGTCTCTGCATCTGATTGGTGCTTAATAACTGATGAATTTCATTCAGTGAATATCTGGGAAAACTTCTTGCCACAGGGTTATTCGACCCTCCCAGGATCTCTTGCTCTTAAAAAAGTTAAGTGGAAAGAACACTTGACTGAGAGTCAGATGACTTGAGTCCTGGGCTCCACGAGTAGATGTGTGACCTTGGGCAAGTCAGCTAACTGCTGATCAGCTGCTCTTGGCCACAGTTTCTTGTCCACAAAATTGGGCTTGTTAAGATCAAATGATATATCTGGAGAAGTATTTTGTAATGTATATCTTTAAGTTAATAGCTTTATCCAAATAAGAATATTGCCTTTGCTGCTTTGAAGCTCACTCTTTCTGTAAATACATTTCCCAAAAATCATTGCAAATAATGGTTTCCATGTCTTTAAATTTAGCCTGTCCTAATTGGAAATATTTTTGGTTTGCCCATCTGTTGAGCTGGTGTGCAAAGGACTTCTTCCTATGTGAAAGCTTTCAGGATAACAGGATGCAGTAGGGTTTCTAGGGAGTTCCTGCTCTGTTAGGATATCAGAAAGGAAAAAATGCCCTTATGCTAGGTAATTCTGTATGAGCAGGATCCTGTCATTTCAGAATTAGTGGTGGCTAGAGATCAGATCCAACCAGTTGGCTTAATGGATAGAGTGCTGGACCTAGAGTCAGGAAGACCTGAATTCAAGTGTGGCTTTGGTTTCTTCATCTCTAAACGGGGAATAATAATAGCACCTGCTTTCCAGGGTTGTTGTGAGAATAACATGAGATAATATGTGTAAAACACTTTGTGAGCCTTAAAGTGCTACGTAAATGATGATGATGTAATGATGATGCTAGTTAACCCAGAAAGAAACTGCTCTAGACAGAAGGACTTTCACCTTTACCAGGCTCAATCCTATCTGAGATTTACTTTTCTCTAATGTGTCTGCAACTAGTGTCAGGTCTTTGAGATCCTAGGTTGCCCACTCTTCCTAATTTTCAAGGCTTCTCAGCATCCTTTTCTCTCTCTATCTTTTTTTTTTTTTTTTTTGGAGCATATGGGTTACACAGTGGATAGAGCACTGGCTCTGGAGTCAGGAAGATCTGAATTTAAATCCAGTTTCAGACACTTTCTAGCTGTGTAACCTTGGGCAAGTCACTTAACTGCTGTTTGCCTCAGTTTCCTCATCTGTTAAATGAGGATAATAATAGCACCTGTATCCTAGGGTTGTTGTAAGGATTAAATGAGATAGTAATTGTAAAGTGCTCAGCACAATGTTTGGTTTATAGTAAGCACTATATAAATGCTAGCTATTATTATTTTCCCTACTTTTCTCATCTTTCTACATAAGGCCTTGCTTCTTTATGGAATCTTTCTTTGACACTCCCAGCCCAGAAAGTGGATTTTTTATTTCTGTTGTACTAAGAGTATCTAAGGGGCTCTTCCAGTCATTAAAATACAAACAACATGAAAAGAATGAGTTTTCCAGGGAGACTTTCCAGGGTGGGTTTCCAACCCTCATAGAAGTGTTTCCAAATCAGTGATGTCAAACTCAGATAGAAATGGAGTCCCTAAAATCTACATAAGGATTCCTGAAGGCTGCATATTGACTTCGAAAACCACATATTAACATTATCCATGTTCTATTTTTTTTTTATTTTGTTAAATATTTTCCTATTACATTTTAATCTGATTTGGGCTTTACTCAGGATGACTGTAGCTGCTTGACACCTCTGGGCTAGATGACCGCTTGTTGACTTATTCCTTTTGGGTAAAGGTTGGACTAAATGACCTCTGAGGTCCCCTCCAACTCTAAAATTTGATGATTCTGCAAAATAGAATTCCTTCTGCTTCTGATAAATTTAGGATTTCATATCCAAACTAGCCCAGGAATCTAAAATTTGTAAAAGTGGCTTAAATCATCTTTAGAAGTCTAAGATGGGAGAGGCATCACTAAGATTACAGTTCATCCTAAAAAAAGGTCTGGGAGTTTTAGCTCGATATGAACCAGTAGAGTGATCTGACTGCCAAGAAAACTAATGCCATCTTAGGCTTCATTAAGAAAGGGATGGCATCCAGGAGTGGGGAGGTAGTCCTTTTGCCCTGGTCTTTCCTTGTCAGACTTGATCTGGATTATTGTAATCAGTTCTGGTTGACACATTTTAGGAAGGATGTTGGTAAGCTAAAGAATATCAAAAGAAGGGCAGCCAAGATGGTGAGAGTCCTTCATTGAACTCTTGTAAGGTTTAGTTTAAAAAAATGTAGAAAACTTGAAGGGGATGTAGCTTTTATAGCTGTCTTTTAGTATTTGAAGACTTAGAAGATCAAGGAGTCATTAAAGAAGGGACTGAATTGCTGGAGATATCTGGGGCCTAAACTGGAAATACTATTAATTTATAAGAGGCTAGTACTACAATAAGAGATCTTGCCTTGAATTCTTGTCCTGGGAGATGTCAGAAAACTTTTCCTTTCTGAAGGTGCAAGTATTCCCTTTCTTCTCTTCTTTCTGAGTTACACTTTTTCTGCTTGATCCCAGAGGGCAAGTGGGATCAGTGAATGCAAATTGCAGGGGCAGTTATCAGTTTAATATAAGGAAAAACATTAAATGCTTAACATCGAACAGAAATATCACAAACTAAACTTGCTTAGTAGCTATTTACATTTAAATTAATTTCAGTGCAAAAAATATAGCAATTAAAAAAATTCCTATAAGTTGATGGTTAGCTATTGATGGGACATGACTTGACTTCTTTCTTCTCTAAGGTATGTATTAACCTTCTCTAAGGTACACATATTACCTAGTGCAGTTGTAGGTATAGTGTATAATACATCCTGGATGAGAGACTAGTTCCCATTTCTACCTCTCATTGGGAAAGCACCTTAATTGCTACTGCTTTCAGATATTGTTTGAGTACTCACACAGTGCTAGGCATCTCACAAAGCTCATGTAAGATAAGATTCCTGCCTCCTTGTAGCTCATGTGTTAATGTCTATCAGTTGTGTCTTTTTCTTTGTTTTCCCCGTGAGAAAAATGGGAATGATGCTTATGCTGTTAGTATTTACTCTTTACTCAAAATGATGTCTTTTGATTTGCAGAAAGAAGGCGGGTGGTCTCTATCTAAGGAAGCAAGAAAGAAAAACTCCTAGAGGAGGAAAGGAGAGGTGTAAAGAAGTAGTAGAAGAATTACCAAACTTTGCTTTGTTTTATTCATTCATTCAGCAAACATTTCCTGAGTACATAGTATTTATGAGGCACTTAGCTCTTATTCTTGTACACACAACTACAAATGTTTTCCAGTTGCTAGTCCAAAAAATATAAATTTCTGACTTCTGCAGTCAGAGTTCCCTCTGGTGTTTCTGTGAGTTTGTTGCAAGGGGCTGTTACTTCAGTGTCATTCCAGAGGTCCTCTGAAGAGCCTTGTAGTGAGTGTCCTGTTCCGTCTAGGTTCTTATTTCCTCTCCTTCAAAACTTAAGCCTGTGGCATAGGTTAAGCTTTTTGCTACCTGTACTCATACTTGACTTCTCCTTTTCTTTGGTCTGTTAATAAGATGATTCCATTTTTTTCAGATGAAAATAATAAATCCCTCTAGTGATCTATCCCCATTGCTGGCTAGGTTTTTTAATAAAAGGAAGACTTGGTGATAGTGTTGTATAAGTGAGATCAGCCTTTCCTAACCTTTTCTAGTCCATGATTTACTTATAAACTTGTCCAATCACATAGGTAGGTTCCTCAGCATTTTTCCCTTCCTTCTTCCTACAGTAATCCTGACTATTCCACTGTCCAACGTTTTTTCAATTCCCTCCAAGGAACATAGATATATTTATATATACGCATCTCAGACATCTTTTTCTCACTACAGTCCTCATCATTACTGTCTTCCACAAATGGGCAAGTGGTAGACAGGAAATGTGTACGCACCAAGATTCATTGTTCTTTTATTTAACAAGTATACATTGAAGTGAGCACCTACTCTGCATGGTAGCTGGGGAATTTGTCTTCACCATTCACTAGGGGCTGCTAGGTGGCACAATGGATAGAGCACCGGCCCTGGAGTCAGGAGGACCTTCACTAGAGTTCTGAAGTTCTGGTTGTGAAACAGTGATGTAGATATTAAGCACATGCTTACTCATTCTAGATTATAAACTCACACATTCGTATTGTCTCCTCTTCCCATCCCTCTCCTTTTTCTACTTCTTATTTCTCTCTCCTCTCTATTCCTAGGTTTTCTTCTAGTGGAAGAATTCTAGGAGGTACAATACATCATTGAGTTTGGCAGTGTTTTGGAAGTCTGGTTCCCTGTGAAGTGAGGTGGATACTTACTGATAACCTGTTACAGAATGGACTTCCTGAAAGACTTTTCTTTGGGAGCTGTCAGGATGACTCAATTTGAAGAAGTAATAGGAGTATATTTCTAGTAAATGAATCATCCTGAAAGTGAAATATCTTGTGTACCAAAGAAGGTAATATATTAAGTAAACAAACAACTAGCTAA